TGATTAAAAATGATAAAGAATAGAAGTGCGTACTCCAACGAAAGAAAGAATTAAGAAGACTAAGCGGCTAAGTGACTAAGAAGAATTAGCGAGGGAGACGGAAAATTGTAACAAAAATATATTTAACCTAAATAATGTAAATATAGTACAAAATAATCTCATTTCGTTTCAATTTTAAAACAAAACCTTTATGAATACATTCGAATTCGTGAATAATTATAATTCGAATATGTTCGTCAATGATACGCTTACACCCATCGAGCGAGTGAGTTATATAAAGCCTGTGCGCTATTTTTATTAGCAAATAACAATGTATTTATTGTTATTGTTATTGTTATTATTTTTGGTATTGTTGCGGTTACTATAGTTCTCACTAATTTTATTTACTTTGCACAAGCAACGTAACAAAAACATGAATAAGCGTTAGCTGCTATTGCTCCGAAATGCTTGGCTGCCAAGCGAAGGTCTTACGATTATTTGAACAAAAATTTCATAACTACGCTTATAAGGCGGATAGTATGGTTTATTGTTAAAGTCTATCTGCTACTACTGCTATCGTCTCACTTATAAAGTCACGCACGCTATAAGCTTAAACAGCCAAACAATCTATGGTCGCCTTAACACGAATCTCGGATACCTGTTCTACGACTGAGATATGAGAGGGAGACAAAAAAAAAAAAAAAAAAAAAAAAAATTAAAAAAAAAAAAAAAAAAAAAAAAAAAAAAAAAAATAAAAGGCAACATTCTCTTAATTAATTTATCTAATTTATCTTCTCATTCATCTAAATTATATATAATAGATTTTATATTACAATAGCAATTAATGGATTAAAAAAAAAAAAAACAATCTTTTATTTATATTGAAATTTAATAGCAAGCGAGGGATCTGTGGAATTGTACTAAACAATTTTTAGGTTAAGTTTCAATCACTTCGGCATAAAACGACTCGTGCACTTACGAACTTCGTGATCGTAATCATTTCAAATTTATTAAATTAAAGTTTAATGCTAATTAAGTTTAACTTAACGTTAGCGGTTTATTAATTACGACAAATGCTATAACAAAACTAATATATCGCTAGCCATCGAGAGAAGGTATAAAAATGAAATGAAGACAAAAAATATATATATATATATATATATATATATATAAACTTGAAAAGAGGAAAAACAAACGACAAAATTAAATTGTTTTGTTTGTCGAATGCGAAAAGGGAACGAAGTGTGGAAGGTACAGCGCACACTTTGCCTTAGTTGAAGCAAAGTGAAGTGAAATTAAAGGGAATTCAATTTTACATGACAGATCAATGCCCCCACAGATTTGATGTAGGCATGTGAACATGTACATATGTATACGCGTACGTATCTATAACTTTTTGAGTGTAGACAGACAGACAGACAGACAGACAGACAGACAAACAACTGCTGCTACTATTACTACTACTACTATTACTATTACTACGACTACTACCAATACTATTACAAACAAATGAATAAGCAAACAAAAAGTTTTAATCAGATAACATAAGGAATTATCGTTGGGGCAAAGATTATTTAGTTTTAGTTTAGTATTGTTGATTATACACATACATATATTTCCATTTACACAAATATCATAGAAGCATTTAAAATTTTGCTGTTTAAATGCGTGAGTACTTATATGCATATTTATCATATATATCCGCATATATGTACAAGTGGCTGTTCATTCGCGCAAGAGTGTTAAACAAAGTCAATTTAAAACAAATCATGAGTTGAAAGATAATAATGCAATAAACCAAGGAAAACATTATATTCAGCTCTTAACGAATCTCTCGATCACCTATTACCTGACATATTACATATATATGATATCGATATATATTTTGTGATAGATAAATTTACAAGATTTTACGCAATACGTCATATATAAATTTACAAGATGACATAAAATTTTACATATATATATATAAACCATTACAATACTTTTTACGAGATCGATACACAAATATATCATCCTCATCGTATATGTATACGTATTAACGATATTTGATGTGGTTTCGTTATACGTGCGCATATCGTATATTTTGATATATTGATAAGTGATTATGAACTAATGATAATTTATATGATTTCGATGTATATATATATCGCATGGAAATTTTCAAATAATTATATGATATCGATATTTTTATGAACATATTATATATGTCGTGTATAAATAATATACATATTGATAAATGTATATACACTGTATTTAAACTTACGATATTTGCTTGTTCTGTGGTTAATGTGTACGAAAAGAATAACAAATACATGTCCATTTAGCGAAACGAAGTAAAGCAAAAAAAAAAAAAAAAATGCTGTAAGAACTAATAAGAGATAGTTTTGTACTCATAAAATTTTTAATTGATTGTAAATAAATCAATGCATCTATTATGCATCTGATTATCGATCCCAGTTAGACAATAGTAAATTGAGTAAAAAAAATGTTAAATAAAATTTAAATTCCGTCTTCGTAATTAAGTCCCGAAAAAAGTGTACCACTGGTTACAAGTAAATCGATTCCACTATTTACCCTACACGCATATACTTCACCGAGTGTTAGATGCGTACATCTCGATATTACATATTGTTAAACATCCCTATGGTATGATGAGTATACAAAAAATCTTTTATCAAAAATATGTGCACATACATGAAAACAGCAAAACAATAAAATCATAGCAACAATTATATAGGAAAAGCACACCTCAGCAATGACTGGTTGCATGGTTGCTTACTTGCCTGCCGTCTTACTGCTATCATATAATACATACGTTATACGGTAATTACATATTGTTGACACTGTTGCTAGATGACTTTAACGTTGTTTAAATTTGTTTATTTGCGGCCGCCTGATTGCATCTCTGCAGAGACTTTCTCGTACTCGACGGTAATCTACAGTTTCTCTAGATACACGAATATATGTATATACAATACGTATATATATATAAATATTAAACAAATCGCAGAGGGATTTAAAATCAACTATGGGTATTATTGCCGTCTATGCGTTTGTCTATATTATTTATATGTCTGTCTATCCGTTGATCTGGCAGTTTCACAAAATTGTTACATTTAATCGTAAATACATCGCCAAGTGGTTTACTGTAGCAACACCAACAAACGAATAGCACTTATTAGCATACATATCGTTCACAATTTATTAACCGTTATTTCATTTGCATATAAACAGGTATTGAAACTTAAATAATATCTCTTTTTCAATAAGACTTGAGGTTTAACAATTTGTTAGATCACCTACTGCATGAGAAATATTTTATATGAAAATGCGAAAACAGTTAAGCCATAGTCATAATGTAAACATGGATGCATAAAAAGAGAGAGAAAGAAAGAAAGAAAGAAAGAAAGAGAGAGAGAGAGAGAGAGAGAGAGAGAGAGAGAGAGAGAATGAATGATAGATTTGCCAAAAATCACCTCAGTATATATATATATATATATATAGTAGAACTGTAATCGAATGACGAGTTAAAAAGAGAAAAAAATTTTGACATTATTCATCATCATCTGAGGAAGTCACCCAAATATTAAAGAAACCTTACCTTTTGTGTATAAGTTTCCTCTAGGGAGGATCGAGAAATCAATCCACTCAATCCCACTCAATCTATTTTTACTAGAATTCGACCTCAATATTAAATACGTCAATATGTCAACACTCTTATCACCTTATCGTATCTTTTCGTACCTTTTCTTGTAGTCGTTCGCACAAAAAATAAACAACAGGATCCCGTTTTGAGTCTTTTATGTTGAAAGTTGATCCAAAATGGCAATTTGATATATGAACTTACTGTGTTAAATTTGGAGCACATTGGTCCATTTTTTCAACTCCATCTCCTATATAAGTTCTTATAAGTAGTGAGCATTTGTATGGCAGCAAGAATTACTCTTTGATATTTTATGGTGAAAATCATGGAAGAAACGTGGACTTTAATGTTTCGTTTCGCCCGTCCATACCGTTCTATATTGTCTTTATTGAATATCTCTCGTACCAGAAAACTATTGCCACTGCTTAGAGATTAAATAAGTTAGGTCATTAAAACATTTTAATAGTTGTCATTAGAAACTTTGTATTTAGGATGAAACAATGTTGCACTGCTTCAAGTTAATATATTGTATATATAGGGTATATATTGAAGACTATAGGTAACACAGCTGCAGTGACTAAGTAACGCGTAAAGTGTCAAGTATAATACTTAAATAGTACAAAAGGAACATAAGAATCCATATAATCAGAAAAAATAAATTGTGCATTAAATAAAATTAGTTTGGCTAATTAAAATTAAATTAAAAAAGGGACACGATACCCTTGGGTACTTGGGGATCATCATCAGCACTGGCATACTGGCTACTTTTGCACTTTGCATATCCGTGTTCGGGTTCTCCACATCTTTTAATCATTTCGTTTCAAGCATATTATTGAACATCTTCAGACACGTGCCAATCAATACTGAAGATATCGAAGGAATTATCATTTTGAATATAGTGAGATAGGTCTTGTTGTATATATTACGGGACAGGCAAAAAAACAAAAAAAAACAATAGTTTTTTTCCTTATTTAGTAGCAATATACTACTACACATCGCTCAAATGAATGAATTGGGAACACTTGTACAGTCGGTTCTTGAATCAATCAAACCAACATAGAGTTTCATGTCAAATTCTAGATTGAATTCTAGATTATACGGATATCATCGCGAAATTTTTATATATATGTGTAAAGAAATTATTGCACCAAATGATTTATATTAATGAATTATTGTTTCATCAACAATAATAGCTTTTATGATTTCTTTAGACCTGATTAGATCTGAGTAATTAGATGGATCGGTGTCCGCTGTTCCGTTTCGAAACTGTGACAACAAATAACCGAAGGTTAACCGTCATCTATGGTTTAACCTTCGACTAGACATCCCGACCATGAACGAACAACAACCTTTTCATCGTATTGTGAAAGCATAAAGTGCTTACTAGTTGAGCTTTGACTAACACACTAAACTTAGCACTTATAAGATTATTATAGATCAGCATTATTAGTGTGATTGTAAATCTTTTTCATTCATTTCTTGACTCTCCACAGATACATATATATATATATATCATAATACAGCTAAGTAGGCGATCACACCTCTATTTTAAATTATTATGATCGCGATTTTAGTAATTATTGGTTTAATCACATTATTGGTATGGCATTATCTTCACATGACAAGTGTAGCCCGTAAGTTTTCAAGCCAAGGGATCGCTAGACCTCCATTGACACTACCGCTATTAGGTGATGTTCTTCTGTTTGCAGGTCTAAGCCGTACCGGTAAGTTTCACTTAATCGCTTAGACTAAATTACTTAGATACACATATGCTCGCTGCATACAAATAATTTCAGAGTTTCCGATCCGTTTCAAGAATTTATTCGATCGTTTTGGTAATGTATACCATGCGTGGATAGGACCGCTTAGTATTTTAATGGTTGCAGATGCAAACTACTACAAAGCGATCCTGAGAGACGCAGTAAACAAACCATCCGTTTATGTTTCCTTAACGAAGGATTTATTTGGCGAAGGACTTATAGCTGCTTCCGGTGAGAAATGGCGTGTGAGACGTAAAATGCTTAATCCCAGTTTTCATATCAAACTGATTGAAAGCTTTGCAAAGGTATTCGATGAACATAGTCGCGCGCTGGTCCAGCGACTACAGCAACATGCGGATGGGAAATCCACATTTGACATATTTCCATTTATTGCCGACATGACTTTGTGTATCATCTTTGAAACCGCTATGGGCTTTAAATCGGATCCTAATGATTTAGACTTTCGGAAATATACCTCTGCTACACAAGAGTAAATTCTTTTCAACCATTCAGATATCCTTCATTATTCATAGCATCAACTGCTTTTATAGTTTCATATTCAACGAATCGGAACGTCTGGCCAAACCTTGGTTGCTTCCGCGTTTTGCTTATTACATACTCGCCTATCGTAATTTTAAGAAATCAAGTGCAGCTATCGCCTACATACGCGATTTCCATGCAAAAATAATTAAAACAAAAAGACAAGAGCTCGAGGAGAGAAACAAAAATGCAACGCAAGCTGGAGGTAAAGTGAAAGTATTTTGTTAATATTTTAAAAATCTTCTAACGCCAAACTAAAACCATAATCTATAAAAAGCCCCTTATCATGACAGTAAAGTTCGATATCGTTTCCAAAAACCTCTTGTCATGGCAGTAAAGTTCGATATCGTAATGTGTAAGAGGTGTAAATGGAGTGTGTGTATGTAATATTTTTGGCAGATACTCACGCGCAAAATGTTTCCCATTCTGCTACGATCATACGCCGTTTTTCTCTACACTTGTTGTTATTGAAAAACGAATCTATTATATATTAGAACTATTTTTGCTCTTTTTTATTGACCCAACATATGTATCGGAGACACGGCAGAGTGCATATGTTCTTTATCATTGCAGGATTGTGTGCTCTTTTAAATCTGTTCGTCCATGTGGCTAAGGCTTCATATACATATTCTTTAGAAAGGACTACGGATCACTTACAACAATAACAACAACGACACCCATAATAGACAAGTAATAGTATATTCGACGCGCTATAAAATTTGTTGATATAAAGCCTGGTAGAAATAGGTAAATATAATGTTCTGACTTGATTGCTTTTTTGGATCCTCCACACGCCTTTGAGAGTCTGTGAGCATAGGCAAATAACGATAATGGAGTGTAAGCAAAGTAGTCCTATTGTGCTCACCGTAAAACATGCAGGATATTAGTCCGAATCAATTACACCCCCATTCGCCTTTTTATTCGTCCGAGATTCGTTCTTTCTTTCACCGACAGCTAAGGCTCGCTAATCAGACAACTGCACGTTGAACATAAACCTGACCTTATATATAATTATTATTAAAACTGTATGTCTCATGTTATTATTATTTAAAATATTTGCAGATAATGACGACAAAGTGTTGGATCGGAAGCGTCAAAATTTTCTTGAGATTCTGCTTACAAGTTCGATTGATGGCAAGCCTGTAAGCGATGATGTTATACAAGATGAAATTTTCACCATAGTCATGGCTGGTTTCGACACCTCTGCTCATACTTTGTGCTACGTGTTGTACCTTCTCTCGCGGCATCCGGATGTACAGCAAAAGGCTTTCCTAGAGATTTTTTCTCTTTACGGAACTGATAGAGAAAGCTCCATTACTATGGAGGATTTGAGCAAATTGAAATATTTGGAATGCGTAATAAAAGAAACTTTACGTGTATATCCGACCGTACCTTTCTATGGACGTGTATTCGACGAGGATATAGTGGCTGGTATAGTGTGCTTACTAATGATAATTTCTTTCATTTTTTTTTTTTTTGATAATAGTTTTTATCGATTGTCTAGATGGTAAAATTATACCTGGTGGCACTGCGCTACTTATTTGCCCGATAAGGTCCAATGAAAATCCGGAATATTTTCCAGAACCTAAGCGATTTAATCCGGAACGTTTTAATGGTGAGACTATCAAGAAAATTCCTGAATATGCTTTTGCACCATTTTCTGCTGGTCCACGTAGTTGTATTGGCACGAAATTTGCTATTGTAGAAATAAAATGTACCCTGATTAGAATGCTGTTGGAATACGAAATATTACCGTTTGGCGACCCACCAAAGCCATTTGTGTATTTGTCTTATCAATTACAAGATGGCCTGCAGTTAGGTTTGAAGCCACGTAAATATCACTCCTAGACAATAAAAATCAAATCTTTACGAGAACTATATGTTTTTATTGTTGCGAACCTTGACAAGATACAGACGCGAGCTTTCTATACCATGCATCACTTTTGGTAAAGATACCACAACGGGTGTAAGGTAAGGAAAGCTTTGTGGTTATTGAGGCTATCGTTATGGATATTCAGGTTATATTCGATATAAGTTTTACTTAAATAAACGTAAAACGAACTATGCATGCAGAGTGAATTGTTTAACTGTCAACTATGGGCATTTGAGTGAGCCGAAGGGATCCACTTTTGAACCGAACATGCAAATGATTCTAAGGCATATAATAAATAGTAAAGACTGTTATAATGTTCGCGGCGAACGCTCCTAACGCCTTTCATATTTTCAGGTCGTGCAACATATTTGTCACGAGATTGTCGGGGAGAGGTAACTCTCCAATTTCTGTCTGTAGTCTCTATCATTTCATTATAGTATTTCGGACAGACAAAGAAAACATGTTCAACGTCTTCGATGGACTTGCAAAAACTACAGAATGGGCGCTGCTCTATCTTAAACCTTTACAGATACGATCTAAAGCAACCATGGCCGCTAATTAGCCGTATCAAGTAAAAGTCCACTTCACCATGTTGCCTATTCACTTAGGACCGCAGATCTGGTATGAGCCGGTGCGTCCATCTACCCTTACCCACTTTGCTCCAGCGCTCCTGCCAGTATTCGACCAGTCGCTGTTTTCCTCGCTGCTCAGCCGCTTCAGCCGACATGCTGTGAAACTCAGCCCTATACATACGTTCTTTAGCTTGCAAGTCGATTGATGTCAGGGCAGCGATAGCTAAAGCCGCATCTTCCGACACTATCCGATATGCGGCGCACACCCTTAGAGCGCATAACCTATATGCTGGTTGGATGTCTTCCGTGTACGACGGTATATCGTGGGCCTTTTTCCACACCCAAGAGCCGTACATTATTATCGCAGCTACCACTTCTGCGATTAGCTTTCTACAGTCTTGCCCAGGGCCCCGCAAGTTTGACAGTAAGCGCTCCAACGACTTTCCTACCTTCGGTGGTTTTTCGACCGTGTATTGCAGATGCCATTTAGACGAAAGTCTCCAGTCGGTCATCACTTCTAGGTATTTTATGGCGTCTTGTGACTGCATCCTCGTATCTCCCATTTGGATAGTCTCTTTCTCAGTCATCTTCCTAGAAGTGATTAATATCGCTTTTGAGTTTTCTTCCGCCAGATCTCAATCCACAGACCGCAGCCACCTCTTAATCATGTCGGCGATTTTATTCGCCAGCAAAAGCCACGGTGGATGCTCCCGCTGGCAGAGATAGTCTCAGGATATCGTCGTACATTACATCCCACAATATAGGGCCTAGGATTGGTCCCTTATCTTCCACAAATTCTTCACAGCTTGGTTGGTCTGAATATTTTAGCATCTCCATTACCAACTTATACGCCATGCCCCATGGGTCTTTATCTCATTCATCAGATTCTGGAAACAGTTTTTCAGTGTCTTCGCCTGAGTTTGTACTGCCGTTGATGGCTGAGATAAGCGTTAGTCCTCCTCGATTTTTGCTAGAGACGCGTCGCTCTGTTGCATCGAGCCCTTGGTTCGGCTATCTTATTTGTCCGCCAGTATACTGGATCCCTCCTTTTGTAGAAGCAACGTCATGTAATTGAACGCTCACAAGCTGCTATAATCCGTCCCATGACCTCCTCAAGGGCGCCCTGTGCCGAGTTTCTGGATTCTGCTTCGTCCAATTGTGTGTACGTGTGTATGTGTGTGGATACTGGCATGCAAAACATATTTTCAATATTTAATAATCAACTTAAAGATTGCCACTCAATTATAACAAATTAAACCAACAATTTATTTGATTACATACAATATTCTCTCTATCCGCAAACCACTTAAATCACAGATAATTTTAATTATATTCGTTATTTTGTCACATATACACAATTTATACGAACTCATTTATATGTATGTAATTTATAACGTTATGCTTTAACCGCAAATGTACCGCAAGCAAGCAACTAACAAACAAATAAACACTGGCCTGCATTTGCGTTCAGTGATAAAAAGATAAGTGGTTTGAGTGGAGGTATGAGAGACGATGAGAGATTGCGCGAGAGTGTGTAACACACAGAGGCAAAGAAATCAAATGAAAGAATACGGAAAATATAATGATGAATAGTGAAAACTACGAATTCCTATTTTTATCGAGGAACATATTTATATCTAACACGCTGGTCGATGTGGGCGATATTCTTCATTTATTATCGTTTACGCAACATTGTGCAAGTAATAAGTATCATCAGTATAAGGCATAAATAAAGTAGTCTAAAAAATCTTGACCTCATTGACGCATATAACTGAGAGGTTATTTGGTCGAAATGTATATACCTTCGATCACGTAAAATCGTAATAATTCTTTTCAAATCTCCTAAGTATTCCCGAGATCAGACATCAAATTTCAAACATAAATTTCAAATTATTTAAACATTGAGTTACATGCTCTAATATATTTTGTGATATCCATTCTATCTGATAACAAATGATAATCGGTCTACATCGACAATTAAGTACCCTATAATAGTGCGTCAAATACAATATTTCTATATATTTTTCCGATAAATAAACAAAATTTGTCATTTATTGCCAAATAAAGCCTACTTTTCATAAGAATCCCTAAATAGAAGTGAATGCGGGAAGTAGTTCGCTCTGTGTCGTTCACAGACGGTGCAATTGATGTTAATCTCAAATTACTATTATAGGCCAATGCACGTCATAAAATATTAAAAATTGAATTGTTTTGCTATATTACCATAAAGGCTTGCTTTTCGTATAAACGGTTATAGGAGAGCGAAAGACTAGAACCATCGAATTGTATCGTAGCAGATCAACTTAGTATATCACTAAACATCTACTCGGTGATTCTTGTCGAGAAATTTTACAAAATTACCAATTTTTTTTTTTTCATATAATCACTTTTCCAATCTAGGACGCTATTCGGGGGGTGTGGTCGCACAAATTGTTCGCTACAATCAAATGTCAAAGCACTTTATTATACCGTATTTTGATCAATTATCTCAAAAATTGTGATATATAGCTTGCATACAAAATGCCTGGACACACATCAGACAGACAGACAGGCAGACAGACAGACAAAATTCAAAAAATAATTTCGAATTCGTCTGTGTAATTAAAATTATGTCCATATTACATAAGTCCTTCTGGGTGTTACATAAATCCGCTTAAAGTTAACATAGTTTAACCGCAACCGGTAAACAATGTAAATATCTTTGTAAATGATGAAACAAAAAAAAAAAAAAAATGAATAGAAAAGACTCCAAAAAAAAATCATCGAAGTAGATAGTGGAACAAATTTTTTTCACTTCTTTTGTTTTTTACACCCTACACCGATCTTGTTGTACAGGGCTGCATTAAGTTGAATGTATGTAGCAATTAGAAGGCCTTGAGATAGATCCACCTCTTATTATAACGATCGATTCAGAAACACTTTCTGTATCGAGCTAAATTTGTCTCTTCGTCTATTTGTCCGAAGTCTGCCTATGTATATTGTTATTCCACGTACAGATCACAATTATGGCGATATTGTGATGAAATTTATTACGCTGTTTGTCGAAGATCGAATGCGATTGAAAATAATTCGGATCGGACCAATTTTTCAAACACTCTGGGACAAGTTTTTGAACCTGTTGCCGTATAGCCTTTCCTATGGAAACTAATGTTTTGTATTAGGCCTAATTTTCAATATTTGGCGATAAAAATAATAAATAGTTTGACAAAAAAAAAAAAATAAATAACTTTTCCAAATTTGGACCGCGTAAGGCTATTTTTTGGATCCCCACTCATATAAGGCTTGTAATCAAAAATAAAAAAAGGTCTAATTTTTAATATTATTTGTGATGAAAATTTGTCTTTAGTAAAACAACTGTAAAGGATATAGATCAGATAGATCTATTTTTTCAACCACACCATAATTTAATGAAAGCAGACCCGCCGCGGCGCCAAAGCCCAATTTGCGAAAGTAAATTAAGTTTATTAAATTTAGGCCACATTAAAATTTGACTAGCCTCCAATATGAGGGGACAGCCGTGCTTGGTTGGATTTCGCATGTTTTCGATGAGTAACTCTCCAAGCGGACAGAATTTGTGATTGCGTGCTGATTTCATGCTATTGGTGCTTGGTCTTCGAATTGCACAAGACTAAATGTTCTTTTATTCTTCACGGGCATTGGTCATTCGCAATCTTTCATCATTCCATCAATAATGGCTTCAGCAAGTGAACTATAAGATACTTCTAGTCTTCATTGTACTTTGGATTTACACTTCCATTTACGCCTGGATGCTTATGACTCTGTGTGGTTTTTTCCCGTCCTTAAATAGATTCTCGAGATCGCGTATTTGCAACGACTAAGGAAAATAAGTTGTAGTGCGAAAGATTTCCTTGGGAAATATTACTTGGAATTTACTTAAATAAAATATTGTTTCTTCACGTTAGTTATCTTCACATTTTTATTTATTTATTGACGCTTAGGTAACCTCGAAGCCATTAAATCCAAGTATAATGGATTACACAATGTCCACCATGTACGCAATAATACAAAAGGTTCTTAAGCAATCTAAAGGAGAATAAAAGAAAACTGAGGGTAAAGAGAACAAAAAAAATTAATAAATAAAAAAAAAAAAAACAAGATCGAAGGAGGTACCTAGAGTAGTATGAAAGGAAATAACACATACGACAATCGCAACACCATCCCAACACTAAGCAACGGGCTAATCTCATTATTAGCGGCGAAGGTTAAAAGGCTATGATTTTTTTTGTTTGCTATCTTCTCAAAGAGTTTATATTGGTTGACATCTCCTTTCGTTTATATTATTACTATTGTTATTATTATTGTTATTATTCGCATACCTATCACCGAGGTGTGGGGATATATTCGCCCTGTCCAAACAATGTTGGGCTTGCAACAGTCACAAG